AGGCACTTACCGGGGCAGCGCAGTGGGACGGGGGCTCCCCCTGGTCCCCGCTCCGCCGCCAGGAGGGTTTTTAATTTAAACACGTCCCCTCTATCGATCAGCGCGCCCGGGGGAGATTAGGCTGAGATAAACAGGCGTGCGGGGCTCCCTCCCTGCACGGGCCGGGGCCGCAGGCAGCTGATGCGCCAGATCCCACCGAGCTGTTTAATGTTTCAGGGTTATGACCGCACTGTTTACAAGATGTCCTCGGTTATTTATACTGTTATTATTAGCGGAGGGGCTTTAAATTTCCGCTTCACTTGCTCTTTCGGGCCCGTCCCGCGGTTCCGCTGGATACCTGGGCACTTTCTGGGGGAAAACGAGAAGCGCCGGGATCTGTGGCCAGGAAGCGCCGGGTGGGACGAGGCGAAGGGGACCCCAGGCCAGGAGCTTTCCGGGAGCTGCAGCCCCCAGCTTGGGCTCTGCCTCCTTCCCTGGCCTCCCCCCCAGCAGCCGGAGGCGTTTGGAAGTCGCAGCTCGTCCTTCGGCCGGCCAAATTCCCCGCGCGGGGTTAACTGGAGCTACTAATTGCGCGGGGCTCATAACGGGAAGGGCCAGGGCCTGTTTTATCGCCTGGATGGGGTTGAATGGGAGAGCGGCTCAATCTCACTTTTTTTTTTTCTTTTTTTAATCTTTTTTTTTCCCCCTCTTTCCTCAGAGCTTCATCTCACCCCACACAGTTAAAAGCAGAGCTCCTTGCCTGGTGCGACCGGGTACAATTTCAGCACCTCGAATAGGCTGCCCAATTGACCCACGCACTTTGTCTCACACACGGACACGGACGGGGATTCGAGCGCTCCCCGAGCACCCCTAGCTCTGACCGAAAAGATGGGCAACCCTGGGCAGTTCAACGGGTGCTCTCCTTGCTGCGGGAATTAGCAAAATGAGCTAAATGAGAATTCCTGCGCTTGTGAAGGAAGACAGGATAGAAACTTTTGACACTAATTTCAGCGCAAATGACTGGCACGGCAAGCACGCGCAATGTTCCTGACTACTGAATTTTACCACGAGACTGAAATTAGCCCCTGGGTTTAATCATTCAAAAGCCTCGCCTAAATCCATACTTACCAACGCCTGCCAGGGACTGGGGCTAGGTGCTTGTCAGCTTTCTAGAAAGTGGAAGTTGATGGAAATGTGAGAAGTGCCTAAGATTAGGGGTTAGATTCTGCCTTTTCTCACACGTGCTGCTCTGCAGCGCTTCCCGCCCCTCCTGCTCCAGCCCCGTTCCCTCCGCATTTGCCCCTAAGATGCAGCGCGCAGAACGAGGAGGCCGGCGCGGGGCCGCGGCTGCGGCCAGGTGCGCGGAGCCGCGAGGTCAGCGCCGCCCTAGACACAACCGCTTCCCTGCCGCTCGTCACCCCCTTTAAACCGCAGCAACGGGCAATAAACGAGCGGGTAAACAGCGGCTTACTCGGACTGCAAAGCAATTAACGGCTTTAAATCTATTCCGAAAACCACATATATTTTTTTCTCCCCCAAAGGCATTTGTGTGGTTTGTGTACTCCAAGCCCACGAACTTTCACTGAAATTTGCGTAGGGGCAGTCCCAGTGTATTGGTATTGGTCTCCAAGGGCTTAAGTTTCTTAGAGGAACGAAGAGTCCTACTCAGAACCTCCAGAGAACGATGAGTTAAATGAGTCTTCCCAGGTGGGTGAGTGAATTATGCAGACAAATACTCGCAAAAAAAAAAAAAGTGTGTTTTAGTTTGACTGCAGCAACTGATGATTTTGAAAGGAACTCACAAATCTGTTGGAGAGGAGGTAGAAGTTTAAATATTGACTTTTTCTTTTAATAAAATGCATTACTTTTTTTTTTGGAGGGGGGAGCACCAAGTGATACACTTTGCATTATATTTCAGTAATTCTGATTACTCACCGTCCTTTTTTCCATGGTTTAGCTTTCTGCACCTACAAGATTTCTTGTGCAGCTGTGTGAGTTTATATATCCTTTTCTAATAGTCTTTGAACTATTGCCTTATTTCAGCTGAATTTGACAGAGGTCTCAAAGATAACTATATGGCTCTATTTCTTTTTGAAAATAAACAGAGAAGTGAAATATCTTTTAAATTTCCCAGCTAAAGGAAACGTTGCGACATGAACTCAATCCTTATTAGATATCAGAGAACCCCCAACAGAAAGCGGCAATTGTGGGTAAAGCCTCAATCTCACTGTTTTACAGTGAATCAGTCACTGCCTCCATCACAAGACAGAAGGCCATAGAAATTCAGACAGTGCTACCTATGGACGTAGGTGCTTTAAAATAAGAACTTTCTAAAAACAGTTTAGCCCCGTATGGTTTTTCATCGTTGTTGTTGTTATTACTATTGTTTTATTTTGACAGGAATATCAACTCCACCCAACACTTCACAGTCATTTTTCGCTTCAACTAGTGATTAGAAAAATCACTTGCTCACCCAGCTGCATTCAGTACTTCAGCTCCTGGCTCTGGGGCTCACATCGTATTGACCAGCAGCGATTTTCAGAGTCTGTGAAATCTTCAAGAGATTCCCCCCACGCTCCCCGCCCCATTCCTTACAGAAAATAAGTTTGGGGCCTATCCTATGCGCTCGGTGCGATGGAAATCTGCTGGTGTGAAGCACGGCCGTGGCAGGGAAGCCGCTCTGGAAGCTGCTTTGCAGACACCTGTGCAGTGCCTTGCTGGGCAGAGATGACTCTGCGGGGTGCAGAAGGAGCACGTACGCTTACACACCTTACGTGCCTTATAGCAAGTGCCTCTAGGAGGTAGGTTGAATTGACAACACGCTGTGGTTGCTAAAAGTCATACAAAATCTGTTTGTTTTCTTCGGGAGGAGACCTGGATAGAGTGACCTGGAATACAAGTTCAGAGTTTTCTGAAGCATTTGTACCGGTGACCGCACAGCTGGATCTGTCTAGGAGAAAAAAAAAAAAAGAGAGAGAGAGAGAGAAAGAGATTTTTCTGTAAAGGTATCACATGTATTTTCCCTAAGGAATCTTTCCTGAGACCCCGCTGTTGTCATTTATTCATTATCCATTCAATACTACTGTTTGTAGTAAAAATAATGTAAAAGGCAATAGCTAATTGCAATTAATAAACAGTCTATTTGAGAACAACTCAGATATGTGGGGGTATAAACAGATAAAAGTGCATGGCGCTTCTGATTTCTGTCCGCATTGCCGAATGCAGATTATCACCCAGCCTCAAAAAAGAGACAAGTTTTCAGAGGAAATTTCAATGCTGAAAGGAGATGCGTGCGTGACAGAAGAGCACAAAGCGGCCCGTGATTCCCGTGTATTTCTCCGCACGCAGAGGGCCGGCATCGCGGCTCCGGAGCGCTGCGGCCGGCGGGCTCCAAGGCCAGCGAAGTTCTGCATGTGACGGATTTGGGTTTTTTCTTTGTTTATTTCACATCCTAGTGTATCTGAGCGAGCTACATAAAAGCCGCTTTGAGTAGGTCCAAGCAAGCGGTCACTGCGTTTCCAGACCGTGGCGTGGACATACCCTGAGGTCACAGCAGTCCTGAGATGACGCATCCTGTTGCCTTAGAGTTTTGCCCTTAAACTCTAACTTGTAAACAGACTAAATGCATTTTCAAGCCTAGGCGCATGCGTGTGTAAAGCTGCATGGCTCTCAAATGAAGAGTGGAAAGATCCAAAAGTCCTTCCAAAGGAAAAAAAAATCACAACAAAAGCAGGGGAATAAAGAAACAATGCAAACACTTCCCTCACTTTAAAATTGGAGAGACAATTTTTTTTTTCCCTAAGCAAAGACAAAAAAACCCAGCCCTTATTTACATCCCACGCTGCAATGTAAACTGTATCTAAGACCATATCCAGCTGTAAATATGGATTATCTATACACTCAAGTTTTCTCCCAGTTTTGTTTACATGATGTTTAAGAAGCAGGGACCAGAAACACTAGGGAAAAAAGGGGGGGGCAGGAAGGGTAAATTTGCCCCAGAAAGAGCCTCTGTACAACTACACAGACAGGAAAGAAAAAAAAATCTAAACAAAAAAAAAAAAAAGAGGAAAGGGGAAAGAGAGGCATGAAATAGTCTCTCTTCCTCTGGTTACTGCTGCTCATCCTGTGTCAAGGGAAGGGACGGGGATGGGAGGAACCCTCCGCAGCTCCATCCCGGCCGGGTGGAGTCGGACCACCGGGGAGAAGGAAAGCGGGAGTCTGAGAACTGCAGCTGCCTCCCCTTCTCCGGGAGGAACATCTGCGGGAGGAAATCCCGCGCTGCAGCAGCGGAGGAGGAGGAGGAGCGGGCACAGGCAAGGAACGTTCCCAGGGATGCACTACGCAGATAACCGTCCCACTGGGTGGCTTCCCAGATCGCCGCAATGCGCATCCCTCCCCCGTCAGACAGGAGGCAAGGATTGTCATCGTGTGTGACAGGCAAACCCAGCGACTGTGCGGCCTCTCGTTCCAGCATCCTGCTTCTTGGGATTTCATGGCCAGGCTGACCAGAGAGGGAAGAGGCTTTCTTCACTGACAACACGCTGTTTTGCTCCTTCATAGGCCTGTCACACTGCTGGCAGCGGTCAATGCGGAGATTAAACAGGAGATGGCAGTTAGCGGGGAACACGCGTCATCACCTCATGACCACTGTTCTTCTACAGGAGGCCACTGTCATTCTAGCAATGGGAACAGAATGAGGCAGAGGGAAGATGAATACTTGTCCCATGGTCACATGTAGGCTCAGTATAGACTTAGGAAGTTCTCCAAAACACTTTGAGATCACAAGGTACATCTGCTCCTTGAAATCCAGAAAAAGCCAGGGACAGGGAAGGCCTACGGAAGGGGGCCCTCTCTGTGTCTACACTAGCAAGTTACTAAACTCCGCAGTGCTTCATTGAGTTGTGAGTTTCTTGACACCAAAATTTGACACAAGCCCTTCAAGTATTTCTTTCTTGACATTGTTAAGTAGCTCCATTCTTACCTCATGCCTAAACCTGACCAAAATCTAGAATCCAGATATTGCCCTGGCTAAGTCCACAGAATGGCTCAAGGCAGCAGTAGGTGTTCCCTGAGTTGGCTCATCGTGTTTCTGCTGTGGTAGGGCAGGGGGTTTGCTGAACTGATTCTCCTAGGTCGCTTTACATATAGCTACACATAAAGGAAGCGACACTGTCGAGGAACCAAAGTTAGTATCTTCCCTGAAACTTTTTGTTAAGCTCTTCCTGCTTGCCGGTATCTGCGGTACCTTGGTCACTGCAGCCTCCTCACCCCATTCCGCCTCTGGAGCTTAAGAACATTTTGGTAATCAACATACAGGACCAGGAAGGTGCTGTCATCACTACCTACAGAAAATAATGCTCTAAGTTGGATCAGGAGTACCTGAAAGCTTTCTGCATTGGGGCTCCTGGCATTGCTAACCCTCACAGAAGTGCAATCGGAATCTAGATAATGTTTTTGTTTTCTGTGGAGTATGACTGTGGGGAGCTGTGTGTTGCCATCTTCTTGCAAATAAAATTCACCGCCATTCAAGGTCCTCACAAACCAAGAGAGTAAATACAGATGTTGGGCAATACGGAAACAAACTCCGGGTATTAACGCCTGTAGGATAAGGCCGCATTCTTCCAACAGCCAGAGGAGGACACACTGCATTCCCTAAGAGGGGGAGACACAATCCTGGGCAATAGTGTTGAGCCTTCCGATTCCACTAATTTCTCCATGTTTATCATTGCCAAAAGAGGTTGGTCTGCACAGTCTGTAAGTACCAATCCCTTTTAGAGGCTGAAACTATGAACATGTATTAAAGTACTGTAAAGTTTACTACAGAAAAACCATATCCTGACCATCTCCCTTTTCTTTTGAGGGTACTTTGCTGCCATTTTCTTGATTTGTTTATGTTCTGAATACATTCATTTATATAGTACGATATTCTACATACATTTATATGTCATAAAAGTATAGATATTTTATAAAATTGTACAGAATCTTGCTCGAAGTCTGACTATGGTAGATGTGGTTTTAGTGCTACTAAGCCACAGTTACGTACAGTGATACACAGTACACTGCTGGCTTGAGTTATCGTACTGAGCATATGCCACATCACAACAGAAATGTGAGAAGACTCACTTGAGTTTATAATTTCACCCGATAAACTAAGCCTTAGGGCAAAGGATTCCCTCCCTGGATGATCTCTTGCCACAAGTTTAAGCTTGTTCCCTGCTGCCTGCCAATTTGTGGGAGACTTCTCATAAATAATCTGCAACATCATATGCACGTTGCCGATGATCATTCTGCCAAAGTTCATTTCTATGCAATTTCCAGGAGGGGGATTGCTCCTAGGTAGCTTTTCTTCATATTTATAATGCATCGTTCAGAAGAACAGACACACAGTATGTAAAATGCAGTAGTCATACGATACTGCTAACTCAGCCATCACTGCAGGCTGCCTCAGGGGGCTGTCCAGTTGTCTTCTATCCGCCTACATTTTCCCACAGCCTACTTTACACTGGATCTTGAGATTTTATGGTGAGCTTATCTGACTGAAAATGAACCCTATAAGAACAACAACAAAAAACCCAGATAATCAAGCATTTGTTTCGATTATATATATTTATGTATATGTGTGTGTGTGTATATGTATATACATATATATTTTACAGAAGTCTGTTAGTAGATCCAAAAAGCCACATCATGAAACTTCAGTCACTCTCACTGCTGGAACTGTTAGACGAAAATATAACCCTCCCCCCATCTCCTCCTTACTTTCCAAACAGTACTTCAAGAAGCAAAGGATGAAGTGGTTTAAAATCATATAGCAATCCAGTGACAAAGCCAGCTTTGAGAGCTGCAAGGAGGGATGGAGATCAGGAGAATGTAAGTTCGGCTGGGCAATGGTAACATAGCCTGTGATTACTCTGGCAGAGCTTGGCAGGACTGGCAACATCTAAAGTTAACGAGCTTTATAACTGTACAGATGTGAAATAAAATCACATGCACAACTTCCATGCAAAATTAGATAGCTGTCCAATAACCCCATTTGCATTAATGTGATAATTATTTGCATGCATATGCATATTTGCAAATATACATTTGGAGATGCAATCTTAAAAACATGTCCTAGTCCAAAAAAGGCAACCTCAGCAGGCAAAGTAGCCAAAAGATTGAAACGGTAGGGACTCATTTCTTCATCATTTAAATAATATTTTTCTAATATCTGGTGATAATTACGCATTTCTCTGGATCATGGGCTAGAAAAAGGTATTTCCTGGGAGAGAGAGAGAAAAAAAAAAGTAAGAGTAAGAGCATGTTTGTGGAGATGCACAATGGATGTATATTTGTGTGCCAACTTTACATATGCCTTTATGATTATGCTAAAAGGAGCAGCCCAGTGAGAGCTCAAGGAAATTCAGAGCTTACAGAGCTTTTCTTCATAGCTCATCTATGCTATTCAGGAAAAGACAACCTTTCCTCTTGAGAATAAAAGTCAGCATCTCTTGTGCTGTGGCTATATAGCATCTCAATAGCACTGTCCAGAAGAAGACATGGTAACAATCTGCCCCGCAGTAGCAGTGCAAATGTCTCAGATCCTTTAGGCTGCAGGTCGTAAAGAACCCAAACAGTCTTAATACATTCCATAAAATCACCGGAGATCCTGGGCAGGGTACTGAACTACGGGAACAATTGCTCTAAATTCGGAATTCCTGTTTTCAAAAGCTTGCCTCATTTTAGCATCTCCACCTGCGTGAAATGGTTCTGTAACAAGCCACAGGGTGGCAGCCCTGCTGCACATCGGCGTGAGCTCAGCCCAGTAAGACAAAAGTGAAATCCGCTTTAAAAGCGACCCTGCCACTCCCGTGCACTTAGACGTTCAGAAGTGGGAATCCAAAACAATTATTCTTGATACATGAACTTACTAGTGGATTTTAATGATTACATTTAATGTAGCAGAAGAAAACACCCCAACTCTAAAGACAGAGCCTTCAAAATTGCACTTCATTCCGTGCTCTCTATTTTGTTACCTCTTCACGAAGGGAAAGCACATGGCTAGAGAACCTCAATTTCAGAAAACTGTCAAGCCAATGGACACTTTGCTCTGTTGGTGTACACCTGCCTTTCACATAACAGGCAGCATGCCTTACAACCTGCTGCTCACCTGACAGCTTCATTTGACTTTCATTCCGGGTGCTGGGTCCCCAGCTGCGCTGAGGGCACCCACACTCACGTGTCCCTGGGACAAGGGCCCCAGCACAGCAAACCACTCATCTACAAGAAAACCTAAATGCGGCCAAACTGAGTGTGTGCAGCCAGCTCCACAGCCAAGATGCAGCTGAGGGGATGACACCAGGTCTGGAGCACAGAAAACTGATGCCACCCAGCCATCCTCCTCATGCCCCCCATGTCCCCTCCTGCCTCTTCTCCTG